TAAGAGAGAGAGATCACATATTCCCAGAAAAATTTAGAAATGTTTCTTAAAATGCTACCCCAAAGTAGAGTTTGAAGATTGGTTTTGATGTTGACATGAACAGAGAGTGTTATAGAAGCCATATTCTATCAGAACAGGGTAAGTTGGAGTACAGATAGACCACAGTTAGACACCTATTCTGTGCCAGACAGTGGAGGGTCTCTTCTGTCATGGAGTTTACATAAGTTGAAGGATACAGAAAAAATATAAATGTAAAAGATGTCAGTGGTAACAGATGTCAGTAATAATAAATGCTATGAAGCAAAGCAAGGAACCAGAAGATGAAAGAATAGAGTCATGTTCTTAAGAGAGTCATCAGGAAAGGTTTCTCTGCTAAGACAGTTATTTGGGAGTGGGTAAGGAATGATTACATTCCAATAGAATTTAAAGATACAACTAATTAATAAAAAAATTGCATGTAGCATGCATGATAATAAGAGTCAAGACACTAGACTGTCTCTAGTATAAGACAACTGGGGCAATATCCATGAGCAGCCTACCTGTGGGGTGTCTTCAAATATTTTCCAAAGGGCCTATGAAGTGACAACAATGAGCTCTCCTTTATGACTTGCTGGGGCAGGTCTGGTTGAATTGCCCTGGGGTATCTACCTTTCTAGAGACCTCTCTACTAATTAATCTGAAGGTTTGGCTTGAACAACAAGAAAAATGAATTAACTTACTGAGATGGAAAAAACTATGAAAGAGCAGCTTTAGTGGTGATGATTGAGTGGAAAAGGGAACCAGAATTCAATTTGGAACATATTACTTTGAAATGCCTTTTATTTTAATTTTTTTAAAGAGAGAGAGAGAGAAAGAAAGAATTTTTAATATTTATTTTTTAGTTTTCGGCGGACACAACATCTTTGTATGTGGTGCTGAGGATCGAACCCGGGCCACACACCTGCCAGGCAACCGCACTACCGCTTGAGCCACATCCCCAGCCCCTGAAATGCCTTTTAAATTTCAAGTGGAGATATCAAGTAGGCCATTTGGACTGACTCTGTCCTTGAAGAAGGACATTCAGGCTACAGATATAAATTTGGGAGTTGTTAATCTATAAATGGATTTTCAAGCTGTAGAACTAGATGGTGGATGACATAACCAGTAACATGTGTATGAGAAAAGTAGATGAGAATTGAGCCCTGGAACATTCCAACAAGTGAGAAAGATGAGAAGGAATCGGCAAAAGAAACCAAGTGTAGTTTTTCAGAGAAGGTGGTCAGATCAAATGTGTCAAATGATGCCATTAGGTCAAATAAAAAAAAAAAAAAGGGAGACTGAACTTATCCGTTGGAATGTGATAACATGGAGGTCAGATAAGCGCTTAAGAGTAGAGTGGTAACTGTTTGTTCTCATTGGTTGAAGAAGAATGAAGGGAAAGGAATTGAACAGCATGTGTTGTTGCTTATAAATGGGAACAAGAAATGGTTGAGTAGCTGATGGGTTACAGAATCAAAGCAAGGATGTTGGTGTTGGTAGGTGATGATTTATCAGAGTCATATATGGCCAAATAAAGAGGGGAATTATGTTGAGAGAACATTCAAATAATGTCTTTGAAAAATGAGAAAGTCCAAGAGCTGAGGATTGACCTTAGTTATGAGTAAGGACACTTTATTCATTATAAGAAAAGGATAGACTGGTATATGGGTACAGGTTTAGAAAGACTAGTAGATGAATGATTTACTAACCTGTGATATTTTCTACTATCTCAGTTAAATAAGAGGGTAGAGTATTAGCTGAAAAGGGAAATAGATGTGGGAAGTTTGTTTTTTTAAAGAAATATATACAGCTACTTGAGCATAAGTGAAGCAAGTGATTGTATTTTTCCAGGAAGGTCAAGGAAAGAGTTCTAGGAGAAGTGGGGGTGAATGCAAAGGAATCTAAGCCAGATAAGGAAGTAAGAATACATGAAGGTCTGAAGGATCATGTAAAGGTAGAAGTGTTAATGGATTGGAAGTCTTGGTGTGATTGAACAAATACTGGATAGAATGAGCTAGAGAGTTAAAATACAGTTTGCAATTAAAATAATGTATGAGGTACTATTATTCCTGTGGGTGCCTGAGGAGAGTGGATGAAAGAAGACATCAAGGAACTCAGAGGCCAGGGTATTAGATTTACCATCTGTGTGGATGTGGAAACTCCAGAGAAATGTAAAGGGGAAAATGATGCAGAAACAGAAGTTATAATCTAGGAGTGAGGAGAAGAGAACTAAAGATTAATTAATAACAACAAGGACAGGTAAAGCTTAGTCTGATGGCATGAACCTCAAAGAACCAAAGGTTTTAAATAGAAGAGAAGGATACTAGTTTGGTAGTGCTGACAGGGAACAGGAACAACGCCTTACCTCTAGATTTAGTAGTGATTTGAGGATGAAGAAGCAATATTTTTGGATTTCAGTTAGAGGCAAAAGGTGAAGGGAAAGTTCACTGACATTGTGAAAGATAGGATCTTTCAGAGACCACAATGGAAGGATTATAAAATAGTTGAGGAGTAGGTAACACAACATCAAATTCATTTAGCAAGTGAATATGGATGGGTCTTCATGACCAGGAATGAGCCCTTGGGAAGTAGAGTATTTTTCCAGGAAGGTCATCACAGTGTCTTTGATTATGGAAATGACACTGATTTGGAGGAAAGAGAAGAGACTCACCAGGAAGGCAACATAGTTAGCAAGAACTTAGGAGGAGCCTGCAGAACTCACAGGGTTCCTTCTTCAGTCATGCAAATTATGATACTGAGGCCAGGGGACATCTCCAGGAGCTGCAGCTGCTCCATCAATGTGCTTTACTGGAATAGTTCCCCAAAGAAGAAAAGATGTTAGTAGGAAAGGGAAAAGAAGGAAGTTGTGGGCTGGGGATGTATGGGGATGTAGCTCAGTGTGGAGTTATGTTTTTAGTAGGCACAGAGGCTGCAAGTTCAATCTCCAGTACTGGAAAAACAAATTGATTAAAGCAACAATGTGACTACAAAAGAGTTGTTCAGTTTGATTCTGGAGGCTTAAAGATACAATTCTGCCCTTAAAATATAATCTTGGTAGTTTAGTTTAAGAGCATAAAATTTGGAACCCAAATATCTGAATTTAAATCACATCTCTTTTTTATTTTTTATTGATTTTTTTAAAAATAAATGACAGTGGAATGCATTACAATTACTTATATAGCACAATTTTTCATATCTCTAGTTGTATATAAAGTTTGTTGACACCAATTCCTGTCTTCATACATGTATTTGGATAATGATGTCTATCACATTCCATCATCCTTAGTAATCCCCTGCCTCCTCCCTTTCCCTCCCACCCCTCAGCTCTATCTAGAGTTCATCTATTCCTCCCATGCTCCCCCTAAATCGCATCTCAATAACTATCTGGCTTCCGTTAAGTTTCTTAATCCATTCGTGCCTCACTGTACTTTTCTAGAAAATGAAAATTATAATAATAATATCTACCTCATAGAGTCAAATGATTTAGTATTTGTAAAGTTCTTAGAATACTGTCAGGCTCCACATAAACACTATATACTATAATTTTTGTTGTCATTGTTGTTTTTGTTTTATCTAAACCACTTATAACAATGTCCAGCATAAAGCAAGCACGGTATAAAAACTTATGGAGAGAACTGTCTGAAAGTATAAAGGCATGTAATTTCACATTAGGTAGGCAGAATAAGGATGTTGTCTATGAGCATGAAAGGCAAACTAAAGAGCTGGAGAGAAAAAATAGATTTGGATTTGTTAGAATTGATCTGGGACAGTTCTGTGTGCTAGGAGGAAAGGACTTAGAATAATGACTTGAACAGAGTAAATGGACTCGGCATCAGGAAAGACTTCAGGAAAGTGGTACATTTGAGGTGAGATTTGAAGGAAGTGACCTGAAGAGACAGGAAAGAATCATAAATTCTCAGGGGTGATTATAAAAATCTGCTAGTTAAGCTCCCAGGCTTTCTTTTGCATGGTAGGATATTCTGGATAGACTTAAGTCTCCTCGGGTAGAGAGCAACTTAACTTTGATTTTCTCTCTTTTTATTTATATATCATGTTTTAATCTTTTAAAAGATGTGTGACTAATGCAGGAATACTTTGTCTATAATTTTTAGGAAACATATTTAGTGATTTTAAATGTTTCCTAGCATGTGCCTTACTTTATGACCTTTCTTTCTTTCTTTTTCTTGCAAAGCTTGTAATCACTTGAGTACAATTTGGGAAGATGCACAGATTCTATATAAATCAATTAAGAGTTTTTTAAAAAGGATCAGTCATCTGAATAGAAAAACCATTATGTTTAATGGAAAATGGCAGCTTCCAATTTCAAAAGTACTTATTGACATTGAATTCCATTTACATATCATAAAAACTTGAACCATTTTATCTGAGTAGGAATGGACAGGCAGATTTGAGACCTTTTCTCCTAAAGCCCATAATGCCCTTACTTCTGCCAACTCAGCATTGTTATTTTGGGACAACTTTCTCTTCATCTTTCAATGGAGAAAAATATGTACTCCTTCATCTTATCAGTTATTCCTAACTCAAGTACACTGGCACATGATTTTCAACCTGCTTAGGTCTTACCCTGACCAAAATAACACTGGCAAGAGTGCTACATTCCCCACATTCTATATTCATGGTAGAGATTGCTAAAGCATTCTTAGAACTAATTCTCACCAATTGTGTGTGTGTGTGTGTGTGTGTGTGTGTGTGTGTTTGGAAAAATGAGGACACAGCGCATCAAAGAAGAAACTTACTCAAGGTCATAAGAGCTAAAAAGCAGGAGAACCAAGATTCAAATACGGTTCAACTTTTCTTCCAAAATCTCTCACTTAATCATTGTCTTTTAATTACTCATACCATTGGTGAAATGTCATTGCATTCCTGTGACATGTTTGACAATTTATAACAATATAGATGTTTTTGTAGGAGTAAAGAAGGTGAGCCAGACAGTGGAAAATAGGAGATTACAGACAATGAGAATGTCAGGAAGCAAGGAAAGGAAGAGTGAAGAAGTTCCTAAAGATGGTAGTGAATCAATCTTAAGAAATAAATAATTAAAAGGTCACCAATAAAAAGTAGTACAAAAGGATAATTGTGTTAGAAGGAATAATAAATTAAAGTAGAAGGAGGCAGTTATATTTCACCAGGAAGAAACGTACTCAGAGTTTAAAAAAGCTATAACAACCTGAAAATACAGGCCTATGTTGAAAATCCATCAACTATAATTGCTATTGAGTTGTTGTGGTGGCACTATAATTATAATTAGGACAACCAAAATATTTATATTTTTTCATAAAAGAACAGTTATGGCATTGCAGTAGGCAACTTTGAATTGCCTACTATTATTTCCTTTGATTATGGTTTTATCTAGAATCAGGGAGGATTACCAATCCTAAATGTACTTTTCTTTTAAATCAGAAAAAAACACCTAATATTTCATGTTCCTATAAAGAAACATAAGTGTCTTAAAATGTCTTCATTTAGTTTTTTATCATATACTTTATTCTTTTATCTAGCTGTGGGTAAAGAAGATACATCATCATTAACTGAAATTGTAGAGGAACTTGCAAAACAACAATCCCAAACATCAGAAATAGAAAGAAATAAAAAAGTTCTGTTTCATTTACAGGTAACTTATTTTATATAATTTTTTAAATGTCTTCAAAATATTAGTAGTGACATAAGGTTTTACGAGAACTTCATATTGGGAATCAATTTTAAATTCCTACTCATTCAGTTTCTCTATTCTAAGTAAAGTCTATATGAGTATTCCAGGTTTATGGAACATTTTATATTCCCAATACAGTATAAAGATTCACCAATGTCATTGTAACTATAGAATAAGTGTATGAAACCTAACATGTCATATAGAATCATTTTCAATTCACTTTATTGGATAGTTTTTCCTAAAATACTGAATTCAATAAAAGTTACATTGTTAGCCAGTGTTTTAAAAGTTATAGCTTGTGAAAAACTAGTTGTCAGTGAACATTTCAAGCAGCCTCCTCCTATCCTTGCCATTCAGAATATATTCATAAGTCCAGTATCAGGAACATGGAAGCCATTCTTCTTCTTTGCATGCAGCATAACTAATTACAACTATATTCTGTGAATATGATGAAATAAATCAATGTAAAAGTAGTATCATCATTTGTAAATTTTGTTATTTAATATATAAATTAAAAGACTAGGCTCTGGAGCTGAACCATCTTATTTGAAAGGCCAGATTTGCTATTTTTAGTTCTGTATTTGAATTTGTGTCACTATCTCCTTATTTTTAAAATGGAGATAATAATGGGACTTTCCTCTAGGCTTTTGTAAGGTATAAATGAATGACCTCATAACTATCTATAAGGTATCATTGGTGGTGCCCTGGTGCACAGATACAGAGGGCCTGATTTTGACATTGGCTTTAGCCAGTAAATTAGCAGACATATGTTGATGATAATTATGTTAATGTAACATGATTCCTTATTTTGCATGTTAGAACCCTTATAAAAAGCAGTACATTTATACAGTAGGATATAATGCAAGAATAATATATTGGATTTTCTGGACAACTTACCAGTCTTCAAAGAGTTTTGCAGATATTTATTTCTTTAGGGCCCACTTTCTATTGAGCATTTTGCTAAGCATTTTTTTCTGAACATTGTCCTTATCCTTGTATTGCTCACAATTTATTTGGGAAGGAGACAAAGTAAACAAATAACTGCACTCAGGGTGGTAGCATCTACAATAGAGGTAGGAGCCCAACATATTTAACACTGAAGAATGAGTGATTGTCAAAGAAGTGATGTTTCAATCTTGGTTGTTAAAGAACAGTTGGAATTCACTGATTGATTTGGTATCTGCGGCAGATATAAGGTTAAGGGATCTGGGATGAGGAAGAAGATATTCCAGATAAACAGAATCTGAGAATATTCACAGAAGACTGAAACAGCATTGGCACATTCATAGAATTCTAAGTAATTTGATAATAAAGTAATTTAAGTTAAATCTAAGTAATTTAATATAGTATAGAGTACATTTTGAGAAGAGGTGGGAGATATATACCATGATAAGACTTTATTCTAAAAGTGATGGGAAACCTTTGGTTTTTAAACAGGAAACAAATTATAAATTTCTCTTATATAGAGAGAATTTCTAAAAATATATATAAAAAGTGCTTCTTATAATCCAACATCTATTCATGACAAAAATGACTTAGCAAATTAGGATTAGAAGGGAACTTCTTCCATCTTAAAAAAAAAAATTCTAAAGACAACCATATACCTAAGGTTGGAAGACTGAATGTTTCTCTCTTAAGATGAAGACCAATGCAAGGATGTCTACTCTTGTTTGTATTCAGGAAGTTACTGGGAGTTGGAGCCAGTATAATCATGTAAGAAAAAGAAATAAAAGGTATCCAGACGAGAAAGGAAGAATTAAACTGTTTCTATTCACAGGTAGCATGATTATTTTTTAAAAATCCCAAATAATCTGTAAGAAAGCTTAGTTCTAAAAAGTTAGTTATAGGATATAAGATTGATATACAAAATAAACCATTGTATTTCTATATATTGGCAGAAATATATAGAATTTTATAATTTTCAGAAATTCTATAATTTTTAGAAATTAAAAATTTTTAAGCAATACCACTTACAATAGTCCCAAAGTTATGCAATACTTAGGGATCATTTTGACATAAGGTTTATCAAATCTATATGTTGAAAATGCAAAATAATGATGAGAAAAATTAAACCACACTTGAATAAATGGAGACAGATACTATGTTGTAAATCAGAAACCACAGGATTATGATGTCAGTTCTCCCAGTTTTACTTATAGACTAAAAGTAATACTAGTCAAAATCCCAGAAGATTTTGTTATTGTTGTTGTTGTTTGCTAGCTTTTTGAGTAATTGACAGGCTGATTTCTACAAGTTGTATGGAAATACAAAGGAGGACCTAGGACAGCCAAAATAATTTTGAAGAACAGTGTTGGAAGTCTTATACTATTTGGATATTTTCCAACACCAACAAACAATTTTCTGATTTTCCCAATGCCAACTGCATATTGAAGAGTTCAATTCAATTCTGATATTATGTGAGGTTAGCATCAGATCTCACAAGTTAAAGGAATAATCCCCACAAGGCTTCCCCATTTCCATTGTCAGTTACAATTCCCAGACCACTCATACACTCATACTTCTGACCAACTGACTATAAATCAGGGATATTTTAGTCAAATTTTTATCACTATCATAAATACTTGAGAAAAATAACTTAGAATAGGAAAGCTTTGTTTTGGCTCATGGTTTCAGAGGATTCAGACCGTGATCAGCTGGTTCCAAGCAGGAATGTTATAGAAGAAAGGCAGAGGAAAGGTACTTAGCCCATGGCAGTCAGAAAGCACAGAGAAAAGTAGGCACCTAGGATGGATAGTCCCCAGGGCATGCCCCAGTGATCTATATCCTCAAAAATGCCCCATCTTCCTTTAGTTCCTGCCACCTCCCAGTAGTCCATGAAGCTGTCTGTGGATTATTCCCCTGATGACATCAGAGCCCTCACCATCAATCATTTTCCAAAAGCCCACCTCTGAACCTTCCTGTACTGAGGATCAAGCCTTCAAGAAATGAGACTTCAGGGAAAATACCAGATCCAGACCACAAAGAGGGTTTCTCATGTCTACCCCCCATCCATACTCAAGGCTTAATAATTTGCTAGAGTGAATCACAGAACTCAGGAAAGCACTTTACTTACTATTACTAGTTTATTATAAAAGATACAATTCAGGAACAGCCAAACAGAGAAGATTCACAGGACAAGGTGCTGGGAAGGGACTTGCATAGAGCTGCCATATGGAGCACACCACCTTCCCAAAACCTGGATGTGTTCACCAACCTGAAAGTTCTCCAAAATTCATCATTGAAATTTTTTTTTTATGGAGGTTGCATCATGTAAGCTTGACTGATTATTAGCTCAACTTCTAGCCTCTCCCCTCTCCCAAGAGGTGGGGACAGTGTAGATAAGGCTGAAAGTCCAGGATTTTAATCAAGTCTCAGCCTTTCTGATAGCCAGTCCCCATCCGGAAGCTCTCTAGAAGCCCATTGAGAGACTTTTTTAAAATCAGATTGGAGAAAAACACTTGAATATCCTCATGCCAGGAAAATTCCTTGGAAGGAAAATTCCTCCGGCTGAGCAGAATAACCGCAAGGTGACAAGCAACTTGAAGGTTGAAGTGGGAATTGCTTTATTGTAGGGAAAACTCAGCAGGAACTGAGTGGGAACTCAAGGTAGCGGGCACCCAAGGTAGCAGGAGCTGCCTTACTGCAAAACAGCAGAGGTATATATACCTAACTGGTTACACACAGCTTAACTCAATTAGCATCATCCAGTTACAGCAATCAGCCAATAAGGAATCCCTACCATCTTAATGGCTTTGTGGCATTGCCTTACAAACCACTCTTCCTGGCAAACTGCCAGGCGCCATCTTGACTTGATATGCGGTCCCCAACATCTCCTCCCTTTTGTTTTATTAAACAACAAGTATGTGGTTTAGGGACCATGCCCGTTTTAGGTTGTCCAATACTACATATGGTCCTTACCCATCATTGGATGGTCTGACCTCAAATCGTCAGCCTCCTGGCTTAGGTTGGTACCATTGTAATTGGATCTTACCCGTCTTTGACTACCGGCCCAACACACTTAGCCATACTTGTGGATAACGACCATAGTGGTTTTTACACAAACACCATAAACAACCTGCCACAAGTAGAAAGAGGAGGATACAAATGCCATGATACCAAGCCAATTGACGGCTCCAAGTAAGAAGCCCTTGGAAAAATTGTACCACCGATGACACTGTCAGCAAAGATACCCTGGTACTATTACAATTATCCATAGATTAGTTCATAATGCATATAAGTGATACACAGTCCAGGTAAATTCTGTAAGCAGCTTAAAGCAGAGGAATCCATTAATATATCTATTTGTTATTAAAGTAAATCGACTCTTTGATTGACCATTACTTGTTGAGTTACATTATTCATTGATGCATCAGTTTATACAGTTTGTTGTGATAGCTATCACAGAAGCTGTAGCAGCAGCAGCAGAAACAGCAACAGCTATGATGATGGTAGCTGTAATTCCGAAGTCTCATTTGGTTTTTCAGTAATACTGGAAATTCTTCTTTTTTTTTTGTCTTCACTGGCACTGGGAATGAAGGTAGGAATTCTGGCATTGATGGCTAAAGAAAATTGTGTAGCATTCCAGCAAGCACTAAGAAATCAATTTTCTGAACAATTTAGTACATTATCCTGAACAGAACACAGTGCCTGGTGTAACTACTACCAATTAATTGAAGTAAGCTTAACAGGTTCTGTTTTTTACATTTGAAATAGGCCTCAATGGTGCTCATTATTCATTAGCCTCCAGGTGTGGGAGAACCATTGTCGCAGATGTAAGGATAGCTAAACTGGAGTTAGCATTCTGAACATTTGTATCACAGGAATAGCGAGGAGTCCCGTGGCAGCACCTACAGCAAATAGGGAAAAACTGACGACTCATTAGTTATTGGCATTGGAAATGGCCAAACTTCAGGGGCGCCAGGCGCGTCCTGCTCCCCGGGCAGCCCCATGGCAGGGGAGCG